GATGAACCCGCGATATGATCCCACTTACTTTTAGATATGAACCATTTCAGAAGGCTCTATGTTCTTTGCTTCTTATGTGGTTGACTGTTTACCTTTTTTATGGCAGAATACGGAAATTTTATTTAGTACATATTGATGGTAGGGATCATTGCCAATGACTACCTTAGAAATCATCTGCTCATCTGTTAGGGTTCTCTTTTGTCTCTCGGACGCTGATAAGGTATCATATGCTTCTGTGCGTGGTGTATCATAGGTATATCCACAAACGACGCACTGCATGTGGTTAAAGACAGGATCACACATCAATGGTATCTGATTTAACTCATGTCAGCCTCAGCGAGAATGTAGGCGAGGAACATACTGCATAACATGTCTCGTTCACGCAGATATCACTCAAAAGAATCCATCGCAAAAGCAATTTTTCGGCAATTAGTTTTGATGCTTGTTCGGACTGTTCTTGTCGACTTTTAAGCTGAGAATATGTCGCCCCCGCGCCGAGAATGTCGTTTTGGACATTCATTGGTGAAATTTGATCGTTGCATTCGCGCGATTTTGGTTGTTCTTCACATTGTGGCGGCATAAACGCATCCGATTCAATACAGAAAGACATGCTCGCACTGATTCAGCTACTTAAAATATGATTAGGGAATCATGTATCCATTGCACCCGTCGCAAAGCGGCCATTTATACGAACTCAAGAAGACCAGTTTATCGTGCAGGGAAAGCCAGAGGAAGATTATTTGACTGCATAAAAATTAAGCACCGATGGGCTGAAACCGCTTGGCCAATGATCCTGGTTTCGCTGGTGATAATTTGATAAGGGAAAAGTATTGCAGCGGTCTACCTACCTAGGCTTTTACCGCAATCTTCATGCCTTTGCCTGTCCATAGCCTTCCGCTCTACTTTTCTGCTTTAGGTTGACCAGGCCATTGGCAAGCGACTGTCATTTGAGCGGTAGATCCTCCCAAGGAATTTTCTAGAGACGTAATTTGCCCAAAAGTTCTGAAGATACATAGTTTATATGATTCACAGCCAGCTCCCGACTTTGCGAGCTTGGTTAACAACACTTCTCTGTAGTGCTTATTACACTTTTTCGAGTTACATATCGATAGAGCATGAAATCATTAAGCATGTGGGGAAATTTACAGCACGATAGAACCCGTATTATAGTAAGTCGTAATAGATACTACTGGAATTCCAGGGATGTGGATATGGAACAAGGAGTAGACATGTTTTAAAAACCGTGAAACCCTCATTCTGTAATTAGGTCAGCAATTAATAGTCCTGAGTTCATGGATTAAATATGCTTTGCCAGGTGCTCCTCTTCAACAATGCGAACTCAGTCTTTTAAATTTCACTATATATGCATCCAAATGTGTTATGTTTTTCTACAATTACTGCATCAGCGTATAATTGGAGGGCATCCAACTCACTGGGATGATTTTTAGTTTTCGGTTAAAGGCCGATTACGTAAATAGAGGAAATTGGAGAGTTCGTAGCGATTAATTACCAATGCTCATCAGGATAAATCATATTATTTCTAAATGACTACTAACATTTGGATATGTACTATTGGTAATACTAGTGAGATTACACTATCTGAGTATATATGCGGTTGGAGTGATTGTGTGTAAACAGACAATAGGAGATCGTGAGCGACAAAAGATAATATGAAGAAACATGTACAGTATATACCCAACCATTATCGGAGTGGCTCACACTGTTTAAAATATTAATTACCAGTTCATCCACGAGAATTTTAGTATTGCGACTCAAACCATTCAGGACACTATAGGAACCTTCTTTATACCTTTTAGAGCTACACTAGTATTGGGTCGAAGTTTGTCATTTTTACTCACAGCAAAAAAGAGTATTTTGTGGATAGTTTGCAGCATAGTCTCGACAATCTCGGTGAGAAATGATACTGCTCAGCTTAAGTTTTAAAGACTGTTATGGCTTGGTTTTTAAGAAAAGGAATTAATATCTATTGCGATATTACAACAGAAACAATACCTGCGGATTTTTGAATATATTTTCTTGTAGTGCTATAGTGAGGCCATGCACTATCTACAAGAGTATTCTTTACTTACATAGGTACTGGAGAGCGCAGCCTCACTTTTTTATTCTGTTGTGGATGGTGATTCCAGTGGTTTTTGGAAAACTGACTGGAACTGGTGTTTTGCTCTGTTTAAACTCAGGTTTATGCTATGCAACTCAGGGCATAAACCAGCATTTGAGCGCAGTATACGCGTACACAAAATCCGGTGTTCTATCAGGCAGGAACGGCAGCAGTAACTGTATGGTCCTGCTTCGGCCCTGCCTGACGCGCCATAAAATTCAGCCAGGAAAGACCATACAAAATCGTCAGGCAGTTCTGCTTTGTTCATTAAGAAGGACCATACAAAACCGTCATGTAGAAGCTTCCTTCATATGGATCTGATTTGCCAGTGTAGTCTCCCTTTTATTCAATCTGATGATTGTAAACAATACTCATCTTCTTGATTATTGGATGCAGGCTTAATGCCATGAAATACGAAATATTCATATTGGGATGTTCTCATCTTGGTATTGGTCATCATTGGCTTTCTTAAGGCGCCCTTTATAGACGAATGATTCACAAAAAAGAAATATGTCTAAACTATTTCTTTATTACTCACCAACACCAAAACTGCTACACGTACTATTCTCTTTACTGCATTCTTCTTTACTATATGATATTGGGATATATAGTATCACAGCACTTTACCTTCAAGTTTGATAAGTAAATGCTGCAATACTTATTCAAAAGAAGGGAACGAGGAACACACAAATCTTTACGGATATCTTCTTGCCTCAAATCAGAGTGCGTGTATGACTGTTCGTCATCAAGCAGGCGTAAAGCTAAGTATACCAATCGGGATAAAATTGCTAGATCCAACCGAAGGCGATGTACCAAGTCCACCAGAGCCCGGATCCTCCTTGTAAGAAATACGTTTAGTGTTACAAATATAGCAAGAAATATAGCACCTACCTACTCAATAACCGAATGTTTTCGAGTAAGAGTTCAGGATCATTTTTTGAGCCTTTCAAATAAGAGACTACACTGGAAAAGTTAAGGCTATGTTGCTAGTAAGAGCAATTAAAGATCCTCCGCTCACTCCGTGAATAAATCTGAGAGCAGCTTCTTCGAGATATCGAACAGTGCGTCTAGCCTGATTAATGAAAAGAAGACAATTGAGCGGTAGTTCTTCTGATTAGTATATGTAGACATCGAGTACCTTATTCATATTGTACCAAGCTGAATCGCAAGTGGATAACATTTCTATTCAAAAATAGTTGCTAGACTATATCCCCTTCCTGAGTTTTTGACTTACCCTATGCTGAATGATAAGCTGAAAAGAAATGAAATGGGGAGGTAGGTTGCCGCCGAGCTGCCCGGTCCGTTTCACTATTCTTAAGATCTAACGAGCGACAACATTGCCCTCTCCAAAAAGTCACTGCATTCTCGACAATTTCGATACATGCTACGGACAGAAGAGCGTGCCGACTCTCTTGGAGAGCAAATGAAACGGTGCCATTTATCGTGTTTTTGATTTGGAATGAGCAAGGCTAAAAGTTGGTTGATCAGTAGTGTCGTGTTTTGGAATTTTTTGTTAAGCCGAGATACTCAGAATACGATGAAACTCGTGGATGTCTTTATTCGAACAAAGTCGGAATCCGTTACACAGGTGTCTACACAATTCATAGAAGATATCTTAACTTGGGTTGACTAGGTACTCTGAAATGGTGGTACTATTATGCATAAGGTGGTCATATGTACAGATGACCGATATCCGGGTTTACATGTCCTTGTCCCATTCAGACCATCCTCACGTCGGTAAAATCTCATAAAAATCTAGTGAGAGAAAAATAGAAGGAAAAAGACCCTGGAAATGGATCTGGTTATAGCGCGGTGCTATGATCCTTCATTCCGTAATCACCCATCGGACATGGATCCAAGATACACAGACCAGGAGCAAGCACCTGTGTCTAGAGGTCTCGGCGATATGCTACATAGAAAGCAGTTGAAAGATTCATGATTCTTTATTCAATGTGAAGTGCAAACTCGCTCTGAAAAAACCCCAATTGATTAGAAATACATGAAGTACACCTTCATATTATTATCTTAGGGTACTAGGAAGCTCAACCTGGGGTAACTACAGCGGTTTGAAAAACAATGACCTGCATATGGCGCACAAGATGGATAAGGAGGAAAGGGCCATATGCTTGCCGGCTATGTAAGCTAACTCCATATTCAATACCATGAAAACACCCTCAACTTCACGACAGATGTTTCTCTGGTGTAGATATAAAAAGACTGACTTAACTGAATCAGAATCGCCAACAGTGTCTCCAATAAATCAACACTTTTGGGGACTATCTTCCTCACTAGCAATTATCAGAGAAACTTGAACATTGACGTGCTAATCTCCATCTTACCAGGAATGGATTGATCATCCTCTGACATCAATGTACTATCAGTGGCAGTCCGATTAGCGCGCCATTGCTTAGCAGTACTTTCTGAGTTCCATTCTTTCAATTCTGTTTACATTGGACTCATTTGTACTTTAGCATAAATTGAAGTCCTACTCTCTCTTATCGCTTAATCAGCATACGTAATGTTGTTTTTCATAAATGATGTTGTTTCTGTACAAGCAACAGGGGTAATTGTTCAATGAGAGCCCGCATTAGAAGTAATATGTGTTCGGCTCACTCATAACTCGGGTGTATCTGTTTGCTTTTTAAAAAATGCCTGTGCACATGTGCATGATAGGCATTGAGTACATGAAGTGGCCGATTAAGAACACTGATAATTTGGAAAAGCGATAGAAGTACCAACTAGCCTTATATTTTTATTCCATTTTCGTAAAAGAAAAATTGAAAGTAGAAGGATAAGAAAGTTTTGCCTGAAGTACCACAGTGTTCCAACCGGGAGAGCGGGAAGGAACCACAAATTATAAACACAGCCGCAAGCACGTCTAGCCCCCTTGGCTCAGTTGGCAGAGCGTCGCTCTCGTAAAGCGAAGGTCACTGGTTCGATTCCAGTAGTGGGCACTCAGAACTAAAAAAGTTCTGATGTTTCATTTTTCCGTGGCGATCATTGGTCACGTGACCTGCTATTTTCTTGTGCAGAATCTAACAAAGGCAAATTGCTAACCATGGTCCAGCGCATGAATCAAATGCCACTTTGTTGGTATCCTTGCGGAGATATCATAAAAACGATAGTTTCATGAATTTTTGTATCATCTGTTGCGCTTTCCACGCTGTAACACATCAGGACGTTCATTCCTTACCACGTCCATGAATGGCTCAGATTCTCAATGGCGCGCGTAACTTCTCCAAGGCTGGTCACAAGAGTGAGTTACATCGGGTGTGGACATGACCTGAGGACGATCAAATAGATGTAACGCTCATATATGGTCCATAGCATCAGAGAAATGGCTCCATTGGCTTATCTATTGCACCACACGCTTCCCAGCGAATGACGAACTCAATCCCTGACTATTATCTTGACAAGTTGTTAAGGAGTACTTTAATGGATTGTTTCTTTTTTTAAAAAAAAAAATTAGCGCCGAAGAGCACCTTAAGGCGATTGCTTGGTTCTGGATCGTCTGCTGATTTATAAATGCATACCAATCTGCCAAAGTGCAAGTTCAACAACATAGAGTTGAAGTTTACTGGGTTACCAGTGAATATGCAGGTAATTGTAACTTTCAACTTCAAAGGTAAGGTAACCCATCGTAATTTCCCATTAATTGCTATGTCACTCACTGACTTGATAAAATGAATTGGAAGCAATTCGCGTTTGATCTACTGGACACATAAATAATGTATGGCATTAAAGAGGATAAAACACGCTTGATTCAAACACTAGCCTTGGTACCACCCAGCCAAGAAATGTCCTTTGTGTTCATAAGGATGCATTTAATTTCGGCGTCGGTACAGTAACTTTGCAAGAAGGTGATAATGGGAGGCCAACATATCCTGGTGTCTAAATACAAGATGGTTTACTTGGTGGACCACAACTACCCTACCTAAAGAAGCGGACTATTTGGGTAAGCTAAATGCATTGCGCTTTTGGTTACTATTGATTGAACTTCAGTTTTATTCAGCGTATACAGCTCGCCTCTCATCCACTTATTTTTGACACAAGTTAAGTTCACATTGAGCTACCGCTGGTGGATTGCAGAAATTAAACCGCGCGGTTATGAACTATCGAATATATAGTGTTTTCCCAAAATTGAGGTCGTGCCCTAGCAATACTGATGTCGCCGGATCGCAAAAGTAGAAGTCAGATTTGCCCAGAAAACAACAAAGTGATGACAAAGCACGGAGAAAGATGATGAATCTTTATATCGATTTGCGACGTAGACAATATAATCTGGCGTGCACAGTATTATGTTCTTGTTACATAATTTGGGAGCTATTATCGTCGGCTGCTGGACAGCTATTCCATTCCATCAGGACTAATCAAAGTTTGTTCCAAACCCCAATAGGCACCTTTGTCTTTCTATGTTGTTCCGGCCCCAAAAGGGGAATGCCGCTCTGCCTATGATTAACCTCAGATATCTTTATATTGCCACAAGAACATGTAATACTCATCTATGTAGCTGTCAACTTCTTCTGATTTCTTTGTATCTTTCTCAAACTCCCCGTACTCTTTGAATGCAGAATTAAAAACGTTATGGTCTCGGCTATCCATCCTCTACAATGCAATGTTCATGAAAATTCCCCATTTTTGAGACAGTGAACTACACAATCCTTGAAGTTCCTACTGATATGCCAACAGTAAAGGCGGGAGTGCTCGATGGAAATATGGCCCAGGGAACGGCGCACGAGGCCTTGCCGCTGTCTCTTACAAAATACGCACGGAATGCTTTCAGGATAACCCGTTTGTTGAAACAGTGCTGATTAAAAGGTCCTTTATTTTGACTCATTGTGGCCTGGTTACTCTCTGGAGCTTTAAACTGATAATACAGTAACCCCACACTAAGACGGTACATAAATAGAATGCTCGCAAAGGGCGGATTTAAAAATGCCGAATGGTGTAGAGAAGACAAGTCGGTTTGGGCACCACCGCATATAACCAATAGGCCTGCGCTCGTAGCAATTCCCTGTATTCCTCAAAGGGTAGCTCTGAGCTTATTTGTTGATACGCATATCCAACAAAATGATATATATATATATATATATTCGTATGAAAGAACCAGATGTAAGGCGCAGTTACTCCATATACGTTGTCTGAGAGAAGGTCATATTTTTCAAGTTGATGTTTGGGAATGCTTGAGTGCACAGCTACAACAAACCAGCTATAAAACATGTGCTTTCAATGCAATGGGCTTTATAGCGAGAAAATGAACTTGGTAGCATTAACGGCAAACATAGATGTAGGGATTGACTCTGACTCATAAAGAAGAGCGTAAGAACATTATTTTAGAATTGTTGGACGAGTATTGATTGATTGTCCTATAGTGACTGATGGAGTTTCGCATAAAATTATACGAAATTGCCGTACCAACAGGTAAAAAGATTTCGTAGCCAACAGAAAAGATTAACTTCTCCCTTGTACACTTTGACTTACCAACCAGGCTCACACCAGACGTATCCAGATGCGCACATGTCGATAACCATGGCGGGGGATGGTGGAGCGCCTGGAGCAGCGACAGGAGCAAGGCAGGAAACACAAAACCAACGACAGGGGGACGTTGGGGGAACAAAGACGAGACACAGGAAGCACAACGGTGAAGCGACGGGGAAACAGCCAACTCGTGGCCGCCATTGAATGATCTGGTATTCTGTTAGCCTCTCTTCCATGGTCTATCAATTAAGAGTGCGATTGGTCAATGACAAAGGGCAGAAGGCGTTAGATTCGACTGAAAGGCAAATCGACATAAAGATTCATCACCTTTCTCTGTGCTTTGTCATCACTTTGTTGTTTTCTGGGCAAAATCTGACTTCTACTTTTGCGATCCGGCGGCTTCGTATTTGGAAAACAGTGTACTATCCACCAGCGGGGACTAATATTATCTTTTTTCCCCTCCCTCGATCGCATTTATATCTATCAAAGGGGTAAAGTAATTTGAAGTATACAGAGGATATCGGTATCAACTTGGGTCTTATCCATTCATCCATTCATTGAAGATGCTGCCCCAGATATGTCCAATCCAGGAAAGTCGCAGAGTTCAAGAGATCTATTAGACGGGATGACATACTGCTTCTCTCCAAAATTGTGCATTGGCCTATAAAAAACAAATCTGGGAACGGAGCCATACAACAAAACTCCGTCGTAGAGAGAACTGTGCCTCGTTTGTAGCGCTCAGGATATTTGGAAATGTTATGAATTGGGCTATATGCAACTTGTAGAAAGGAAGAAAATAAGCTTGCATGATGCAAAATACAGAATCTCAGATACAAACTATAATCGGTAGATACGTTTATTTATGATGAAAAAGCAGTTTTTCCGTTCTTGCTTTGGACGTCGCTTATATTCCACGTATAGTATTGCTCTATCTCAGAGCTCTGATCCTGCTTGCAGACACCACTTTATACGATGACATTTTCGACAAAATCCCCCTGGAGTAGAAGCTCCTGAATGAAACTGATTTATGTTAGTTAGTACAATATCAAAGTTCGGATTTGAACGTGATACCCACTCCGGCAAGACTAATTCGCTTATTATTGACAGTCGCATAAAAATCCCTTTGAGACTGTTGTTTGTATTTATCTCAATGCATCGGTTGCTATCCCGTATCCTCTCTTATTGTATGAAAAAAAAAAAGATAGTCTCAGAGTTGTTTTAATAGTGAGAAGTAAAGAGGACTATTAATCACGATGAGCAGTCAACTGCTGCTGATTTTATTCATTGAGCAGCTTAAATATGAAGGTGAGTTGATGGCGTACCAAAAGCATAGAAAAAAAAAGAATATCTGACAGATTGTAGCTTAGGATCACAAATTGACCCAGGCTCGGACCATCGTGAAATCCGGTATACTTGTGTATATATACACACATCTCTGGAGGACACAAACAACTTTGTCCGTCGGTCGATTCTCCAATCCGACGATGTTTCATGGTTGAGCTTGTGTGATGATAACACACAGACAAGCTTACCTTAACAATACACTATAGTCATTTCCCGAGAGTCAGCCACGCTTCTTTCTAACTTTTTTTTTTTTGCATACACTACATACAAGTTTTCGCTACTGTCCTTCTTACCGTGCTGCATCAAGCAAGAATGTCAGATAATTCCTTGACGGAATTAGATACGGCATTAGAAGGCTTGGAGCATCTACGGATCTCCCATGACCCTCTTCATGACCTTTTTTCGCCTACTACCCTTGCTCATGATCTAATGTACGTCGACAAGACGTATTACGGCTCCCGTGTTTTAGCACATGATCCACCGAACGTTTTGATAGACGGCCAATCTTGGACGAAGAATATTGAAAAGCTACATCTCCCGTTACGCATGCATAAGATGATATCCAGCCGCCCGTTCAATTTAGTTGGTTCCATTACCCGTCTGGATCTGTGAGACCACAACTTATAATTTCTACAATGACTTGCTACTGACAACCTTTTCTTGCCTTGCTGCTGCTACAACTACAATACAACAACAAAACAATTACTACTGTTGCTAGGCAAAATATAGGTCTACAGTCTGTGCCAATCCAGGTCATAACCTTGACGCGCCTTACCTTTCTGGATTTATCCCGAAATCATCTAGACACGCTTCCACCAGCCTTCCGGAAGCTTAAACAGCTTCGGCACCTCAATATATCGCACAACCGACTTCAACGGGTACCCGATGTGATTAGCACTCTGAGGAAACTCATGTATCTCGACCTCTCGCATAATCTGTTTCGTGGACTCCCCATCAGTCTCTCCTCTTTGTTTCATCTCACATGGTTGGACGTGTCTCACACACGCATCGATGCAGTTCCGGCAGAATATCTCAGACTTCTGCAGATGACCATCAGAACAGATGGTTGCCCGCGTCTTCAGCGCAAAGTTTCCCGGTTTCGCCATTCCATCGCACATAGTCCACCCAGCCT